GGCAACTCCGGCAACCAAGCTGGAGCCAAATGTATTGCTCTGCTTTCCATTGCACCACCTCAGTGAGGTGCAATAATAATGTGTGTGCCCCTGTAATTAGAATGGCACAGATAAATGGTGTGTGTGTGGGAATTAAAAAGAAGCACAAATATAAGGCAGCGTAAGTAGGTCTCCCCAGGAGAACATAGGAAGTTGCCCTAGAGCAAATCAGACCATTGGTCCATCTAGCTCAGAATAGTCTGCCGACTTTCTCGACCTTAGATGCTCAGATGTTATTTGACTGCAACTCCCACCATTCTCAGCCAGCATGGCCAGTGGTCAGGGATGATGGGAGTTGTAGTTCAAGAACATCTGGGGACCCAAGATGGAGAAAGGCTGGTCTACACTGAGTGGCAGTGCGCCACCCCCCGCCCTCACTAGGTTTCAGGTGGGAAGCCTTCCCCTAGCCCTACTCAGAGAGGCCATTCAGGATTAAATCTCCACCCACAAGCAGATGCTCTGCCACTGAGCCATGGTGCACCCCAGTCCCCTTGATTTGTAGGAAGCTTCCTTACACTAAGTCTGACCATTGGCCCAGCCAGCTCAGCATTGTCTACACTGACTGGCAGAGGCTCTCCAAAGTTACAGACATCCCCAGCCCCACCTGAGGATGCCAGGGATGGCACCTGGGACATTCTGTATGCAAAGCAGTGAGTGCTCTATCACTGTGTCCTGGTCCTCTCCACCATCAAACTCCACTCTCCCTCATGAACACCTTCTTTCTGATGGCTCCTCTGAGGAGACATCCTATACACACCATACATTTAAAGCAGGCGGCTCCCTCTCCCCACCCACAGAATCTTGGGGACTGAAGTTTACCCCCACCCACAGAACTACAATTCCCAGCACCCTCCCAGCTCCCAGGATTCTTTGGGGAAAGTCATGTGCTTTGGGGGAAGTTGGCTGTGCCCAGGGCTGGGTAGGGCTGAACCCCGGACCTGCAGGCATCCAGGTGTTATTAGGACTACAACTCCCATCATCCTTCGCCGCCATTCTGCAAGTGGCCAATGGTGAGGGATGATGGGATTTGGAGTTCAGCGTGTCCGCCAGGGCATATAGGGAGGCGGCCGCGGGTGGGGCGGACCAGCAGCCGCGCCATTCATGAATCGCCCTCCCCCGTGTTGGGAAAAGTCACGCGCCGCTTCCCGCGTTCGAACCCTTCCTTCCATTCAGCAACATTCGATGGGCCACGCCCACTTCCCTCCAGACCCCCGCCCTCGTGCTTGATCCTCGCGCGGCGATTGGATAGCAGACCTCAGCTCCGCCTACGCGTCTTAGTCCGTGAGCAGCCATGGAGCGGGCGTCGCGGGAGCTTCCCGCATCCTGGTAAGGGCTCCGCGGGGGAGGGAAGCCAGGGCTGCCCCACCTTTAATTTTTGCATGTGACGAAGGGTGTGGGATTGACCCGTTTCCACTCCTTGCACAAGCACTTTGCGCCCAACGGTGCTTCCAGAATTGCAGATTCCCGCAGAGAAACCCAAACACACGCCTGATTTTCAGCCCATAATACCCGCTTACTTTGCTTGCTAATTATCCCCTCCGAGGCTCGGATCTTAAGCACTTATTAAGGTGCAAACCCCGTTAAAACTTCACCTCCGAGTAGAGGTGCTCGGAATCGTTCCATGCGCAGAAACTACTGTCTTGGGTTAGGCCCGTCCAGCTAATGTCCTAATGCTGCTTGACGGTGGAACAGAGGTGGTTTCGCTGGTTTGCTGGAGGTATCTAAGCTGAAGCTGGACCAGGTACCTGCCTGGGATAGTGGCCCTCGAAAAGTTGCTGCACTCCAGCTCCCATCTGCCCCAACCAGCATGGCCAATGGTCAGGGATGGTGGGAATTGCAGTCCCAACATCTGTAGGGCCGCAGGTGCCCCATGCCTGCCCTTCACTTTGTGAGGTGCATAACAACACGAGGTGGGGTGGGATGGAGAGCAGCAGCCCTGCGGTACCCACAACCTGCTTCTATTATCAAAGAGGTGGAAGAAGGATAGGGATCCTGCGGTTGTCATGGGAGGACACCAATCTGCTGGGAGTTGTCAGGGGCAGGTCAGCAATCCAACACCCAGTGTCAGTGAAGTTAACTTCATTCAAAGAAACCAAAACAGCTCAGGCCTAGTGGTCCCCACACCTCTTCCCAGTAGGTCTCGGCCCAATGAGGCAGTTGCAAGGACTGAAGGTCCCCACCTTCCCACTGCTCCCTAAGACTCCCCTTTCCCAGGACCTTTCCCAGTAACCCAAGACACCTTTGCCTTGTCTCTCTTTCCTCCACCGTGTTCTGGGAGACCAGGGGGCAGGGGAACTGTTCACAGCAGGAGGGGGAGACACCCTGGCTTCTTCAGCAGCCTGACCCATCTCTGCCTCTTGCCTCACCCCTCCTCTCCGTGCTCTGATTCTGAACTGCTCTCTGCCACAGACTCTTAAAGGTAAAGGGACCCCTGACCATTAGGTCCAGTCGTGGCCGACTCTGGGGTTGCGGCGCTCATCTCGCTTTATTGGCCGAGGGAGCCGGCGTACTGCTTCCAGGTCATGTGGCCAGCATGACTAAGCCGCTTCTGATGAACCAGAGCAGCAAACGGAAAAGCCGCTTACCTTCCCGCCGGAGTGGTACCTATTTATCTACTTGCACTTTGAGGTGCTTTCAAGCTGCTAGGTTGGCAGGAGCTGGGACTGAGCAATGGGAGCTCACTCCGTCGCGGGCATTCGAACCGCCGACCTTCTGATCGGCAAGTCCTAGGCTCTGTGGTTTAACGCACAGCACCACTCGCGTCCCGCCACAGACTCTTCCTGCGCACTAAATCCTGTTACCTCTTCAGCTTCCAACGCCTCCTCTTCCTAGTCTTCTCCTTCTGACCACCCATCCCCATCCCACCACCCATCCCCGGGCTCCGAGCCTTCTTCCCTTTGGGTTCCCCAGCTGGTGCCTCCACCATTCCTCTTTGCCCAGCCAGTCCATGACAGGAGTCCAGCAACATATCAAGCGGCACACCTCCTACCCTTCCTGTGGCAGAAAGTTGAGACGGCTGTGTGCAGCAGACCTTCTTGAGGGTCACAGTGGAATATAAAGTGTTGGTGTTGACCTTTAAAGTCCTAAATGGCTTCGTCCCAGTATACCTGAAGGAGCGTCTCCACCCCCATTGTTCAGCCCAGACACTGAGGTCCAGCTCCAAGGGCCTTCTGGCGGTTCCCTCACCGCGAGAAGCAAAGCTACAGGGAACCAGGCAGAGGGCCTTCTCGGTAGTGGCGCCCGCCCTGTGCAACGCCCTCCCACCAGATGTCAAAGAGATAAACTACCTGACATTTAGAAGACACCTGAAGGCAGGGTGGTTTTTAAATGTGTGACATTTTAATGTATTTTTAATCTTTGCTGGAAGCTGCCCAGAGTGGCTGGGGAAACCCAGCCAGATGGGCGGGGTACAAATAAATTATTATTATTATTACACTCACTTTTCTCTCTTCCAGGGCACCAGAGCGCACAGTATGGCTGAACAGTGGAGCTCCTATGCCTCTTCTGGGGCTGGGCACCTTCCGCTTGCTGGGTGAGGAGGCCGTGCGCCTCAGCCTGGACGCTGCTCTCAGGAACGGCTACCGCTTGGTGGACACGGCCGCTGTCTACGGCAATGAGTCCGACATCAGGCACGCTCTGCACGAGCTGCTGCCGCACCACGGCCTGGCTCGGGGAGACATCTTCCTAACCAGCAAGCTGAGCCCAAGGGACCAGGGGCAGGAGGCAGCCGAAGGAGCCTGCCTGCGAAGCCTGGAGGAGCTGGGCTGTGATTACTTAGACCTCTACCTCATCCACTGGCCCGGGACCCAAGGCCGGCCGCAGGAGGACGAGGGCAACCGGGAACGGCGGCAGCAGAGCTGGCGGGCTCTGGAGAGGCTGTACGAGGCTGGGAAGCTCCGGGCCATCGGGGTCTCAAATTACAGCGTCCAGCATTTGGAGGAGCTGCTGGCAGTGTGCCGGGTGCCCCCCTCCGTCCTCCAGGTGGAGTTCCACCCAGAACTGGCACAGGGGGAATTGCTGGACTTCTGCCGGAGCAAGGGCATCCACCTGCAGGCCTACTCCTCGCTGGGGACCGGCCAGCTGGTGGGGCGGCCAGAGGTGGTGAAGGTCGCCACACGACACGGGCGTCCGCCTGCCCAGGTCTTGCTGCGCTGGGCTCTGCAGCAAGGGGTCAGCGTCATTCCCAAGTCTGCCACCCCGAGCCGTGTGGTGGAAAACAGCCAGCTCTGGGGTTGGGAGTTGAGCCCAGCGGATATGGAGGAGCTGGGTGCGTTGGATTGTGGGAAGCGCTATTGCTGGGATCCCACCAATGTGGCTTAAAACAGGGGTGGGGGGAAAGATGGGCATTCCAGATGTTGCTGGACTCCAGTTCCCACCAAGTCCCAGCCAGCAAAATCAGCGGTCAGGGATGGTGGGAGTTGGAGTCCGGCAACATCTGGCAGACCAGGCATTCGCCAGAGATATGGGGGACGCGAGACTTTCAGGACTGATCTCCACCCAGTTGGAGAATCCCATTTGAAAGCAGTGCCTTTATCACATTGCCGTTCCATCAGCCAGATTTTAAATTCAGAAGAAAAAATGCCAGTGGATGGAGGAACTCGGGCTTCGCTCTGCCTTTACCACCTCCCCCTGGAAAGAGAACTCTAGGGCAGGGCTAGAAATCTGTGGCTCTCCTGATGTGGTTGAACTCCCGATCTGGCATGGCCTGCGGTAAGGGAGGAGGGGAGCCGGGAGTCTTAAAAAAGCATCTGGAGGCCCCCAGGCTCCCTATTGCTGCTGCAAGACGAAAAGAGCGATATTAAACAGGAATTCAATTTCTCTGCGTCCCTTTGAGTTTAATTTTCTTTCGACACATTCATTCCCGAGGCAGCTAAAGCAATCCTGCCCCCACTGCAGTCAGGCTGGCAATCTGGGGGTTGTCGCTGTGAGCTTGAATTGAAGGAATAGGCAGTGACGTGCTGTAAGCCAGAAAAGTATTTAATAAACATTTATTAACATATAATAAAAGGGCATACAAATTTCTCTAGGCAGGGCTGGTGAATGTCAGGGGTTCTCGTTTCAGTAATGCATACAGTGGTTTTGTTCAGTGTTTTTTCCCCCTTTTAAAATACAAAAAGTACACTCTAGAAAGGGCAGGACAAGATCCCCTCAAAATTGGGGGTCTTATAGGGGAGGTGCAGGGGAGAAAGGGATGGGATCCCGTGCATAGGGCAGAAGGTTAAATTCTTAACATGTCATACTAAAGTGGCCTAAGTAAAAAAAACTCCTAGGGGAGTGGGTGTGGAGGTGCAGAGGAATGATCACAGCATCCCCCAGATTTGGGGGGACACCAGCCATGTGCCACATCAACCCTACAGATTTACCCCCCCCCTTTATTTGTTCCTTCAACCCTCCCCCCACCATTTGTAACGGACAGCAGCAAGATACAGTCATGGGGGGCTTCTTGGACCATTGCCTGGGGAATTCCGACGCCACCATGACTGCAGAACCTCCTTCCAGCCCAACGTCCGGCGCATTTGGGTAGCTGTCCCTGCACTCTTGGGGCGCGGCAGCTTCTGCAAGAGAGAAGGAAAATGTGGCATCACCCCCTCTTCCCGACAGTCACCTCTCAATCCAGCAGGCTGGCACATCAAGGATGAGAAACTGACAGGCCCTCCTGGTGTTGCTAGACTACAACTTCCGTCATCCATGACCAGTGGCCTAGAGCCAGGTGAGGCTGACAGGCCCTAGAGTCCAAAAGCGTCTAGAGAACCACAGATTCTTTGGGTTGTATCTAAAGTTAGTTCTGCTCAAAGCACATGACTTTAAAATGGCTTTGGCCCTGTATACCTGAAGGAGCATCTCCACCCTCATCATTGAGGTCCAGCTCCAAGGGCCTTCTGGCGGTTCCCACCAGAAGTGAAGTTACAGGGAACAAGGCAGAGGGCCTTCTCAGTAGTGGCACCCGCCCTCCTGTCAAATGTCAAACAGATTCTATGACCTTCTGTAGACATCTGAAGGCTGTTTTGTTTTGTCCTTTTATATTTTGTTGGAAGCCGCCCAGAGTGGCTGGGGTAACCCAGTCAGGTGGGCAGAGTGTAAGAAATACATCATCATCATCATCATCATCATTATTAGATTAGACAAATTCATGGAGGATTAGGCTACTAATGGCCTAATGGACTGAGGGAGAAAAAACATCTCCACGTACTTGACACCTAAGGGACACTGTTATCCTCGGTTGTCAATCGGATGCCTCCGTGGGAAGCCCATAAATGTGACCTGGGCACAACAGCAACTCTCCCCGTTTGTGATTGGCAGCAGCTGGCATTCAGAGGCAGGCTGCCCGCGGCAACAAAAGCCCACCTCTCCCTTGGGAAGGGCGGACTTCTCTGTAAGCAGGCCAGACTCACCTGCAGCTCGCCATGGAATTCGTCGCTCATCCTGCGCAGCTCCCTCCCATACCGCTGGGCTGCCCACAGGATGGGAGGGGCAGAGCGTGAGCGTGCCCGGAAAGTGCCCACTTCATCCAGGGCCTCAGGGTCTGGCAAGGGAGGGTCGGATCCAATGCGACGCCGGAGCTCTGGCACAGGAGGAGGAAGGAAAGGGGGTTATGTCACACTTGCCACAACACGGCAACAGAAACTGCTGGACTGTAAAACAGGCCAAGGTCCAGTCCTTTCTGATGTTATTAAACTCCAGCTCGCAGGGGCCCAAGCCAGTATGGCAAGTGCCCAGGAATGATGGGAACTGGAGTCCAGCAGCATTTTGGGGGGCTATTGGTTCTCTGCCTGGCCTAGAAGGTTAAGGTGGTGTATTGAATAGACATGGCTCAGAGAGGCCTGCTTGAGGCCCTGTTCTGCCGCAAAGCCACTGTCAGCCACTGCCCACCAACTTCCAGGGTGGCGGTTGTGGAGATCTCACTATTATTATTACTTCAGTTTAATTACCTGTACTGCACACTAAGGTCTTGGGGTGGGTCGCAACAATTTAAAATACAATGCAGTATTAAAACAACCCACAGTGGCAAGAACAGGGTGGGCACCCCAAAACACATCTTGGTTGTCAAAAAGCTACATCTTCAGCATAGGGCAGAAACTGACTTCTCCTCTAAGCGTTTGTGGTGATGGGAAGCACCAAGAGGCCCCCACTGCTGATCGTAACACCCAAGAGGGTATGTTAGGAAGGAGGCGGTCTTGGTTTGAGCTTTTAAAAAAAAGGCTGGATAATAAAGCTGTCACCTGACTGAAGAAATCTCAGTTGATCTATCATTTACAGCAGAACTGGAGCACCTTTGGCCCTCCAGATGTTGGAAGTACAATTGCAAACTTAGATTGCACTCCCAGTTTACCTAGAAGTGACACTGAACTCAGTGGGTCTTACAAGCAATCCTTATTTTGCACAGGGGTTATGTCCCGAGACCCCCCACCCCCAATCCATAGGGCCCATGTAAAGCGTTCCACACACCCCATTCTGTCATTTTAGTTTTCGGGTCACTTCCGGGTTCGGTGCCTTGCATGTGCACAATCTTGCGTCAATCAGTCATTGCCTGTACTTCTGAATAGAAAAGTATGGGATTGCACTGATATTCTATCAATTCTACTTGGCACATTTCTCATGGAAGAACATGGCTTTCTTGATATAAATGATCCCCTTTAATATTCTTCTCACAACACCTTTCATGATAGCTAATTTGCTTTATTACATTTATTATCTTCACTTATTTTTTTTAATTCACAGCATAAGCAAGGCAGATTTCACCATCCATCCTCTGGGCACGAGAAAAAGTCAAGAGAATCTCTGTGGCCTCTGCTGACCTCAGAAGCGCTGGAAACGAATTAAGGATTTCATCACTTTCCAAAGCTCAGCACGAAACGTGACTAATCATGGCCCTGTTAGTGAGCCAATATTTTAAAATCGGTTTAGTCAGTCTTGCCCTGATATGAAGCCCACAAAAGTTCACAGAACTGGAAGGGACATTCAAATCATCCAATTCTCTGCAATGCAGGAATATGCACCCATATGGGGATCAAACATGTAACCTTGATGTTATCAGCACCACGCTCTTACAAACTGAGCTAACCAACAAGGCAAGTTACTAGCTGGCAAACATTTTCACTAGTGTGCTGAGGACTGGCAGAAGAGGGACCCTCTTCTAAAAACATTTTTGGGGAAGGGCTGCAGGTCAGCAGGAGATCATCTGCCTTGCATGCAGGTAGGTCTGGGAACAGCACCCCACCTAAAACCCTGGAGAGTCACTGCCAGTCCGTGCAGGCAATACTGAGTGAGATGGATGAATGGTCTGACTAAGGCAGCTTCTTGGTTCCCAGGTTAGGCTTCGCTAAGCTCACACAAAATGGTAGAATTGGAAGGTACCCTGCAATCTAGTCCTGCAATGCAGGGATCTCAAATAAAGCATCATTTGAGGAAAAAGTATTTCTTTAGGAAAGGTTCACGGCTCAGCATTAGAGACTCGCTTTGCATGCAGAAGATCCCAGGTTCAATCCCTGCCAAGACCCGACTGAAACTCTGGAGAGCCACAGCCTGTCAGTGTATTCATTATTATTTGTTTACTTGTTTATTTATATTCACTTTTTCCTCCAAGGAGCTCAAAATGGTTCCCTCTCCCCCGCCGCCATTAATCCGCACAACAACCCTGTGAGGTGGGTTCGGATGAGAGTCAGTGACCGGCCCAAGGTCACCCAGTGGGCTTCATGGCCGAGTGAGGATTTGAATCCTGGTATCCTGGGTCCCAATCCTGCACTCTAACCACTACACCACACAAGTACTGAGCGAGATGTCTGACAGATTTTTATAGTAGATATAGAGTGGGGTGGGGCCTTCCCTTCCCCTGCTGGTGCAGGAGAGGGGCAGAAGATTCCCTTTCTCCCCTACTAGGTCACTCACTGCCCTACTTCCATGCAGTGGCTGGTTGCTGCCACCATCCCCAGCCAGCTGAGACAATGGTCAGGGCTGATAGGAATCGCATTCCAGCAACAACTGGGAACCCTGAAGAGGGAGAGGGACATGCTCTTGTTCTGCCCCAGCCCAAATACCTGGATTCCCAGCGGAAGGACTTCCTGGGGCCTGGTCCCCTCCTGCGACGCTCCTCCTGGTCAGCTTGAGATCCTGCGGTTCCTTCTCACCCGGTGGGAATGTCTCTTCATCATCATCCTCAATGTGGAACATTGTCAGGGGGCTGGCATGGCCCCCAACACCCAACGTGCCGTTCTCGGGGGGGGGGGGTGAGGGTTGCTGTCAGCAGAACTGTGGAGGGATAGGAAGCACGGAGATCAGAATGAAGGCGATTCCTCTGAGAGCCAGAAGAAGGGCTGTAGCTCAGTGGCAGAGCATCCGGAAGAAGCCGAGGGACCCAGGTGTCCGACAATCTGGGCAGACGCTTAAGGGAACCAGGTATATTGAGGTTCGGTCCCTGGCATCTCCAGGTGAGGCTGGGAGGCAGCCTCTGTCTGAAATCCTGGAGGATACTGAGCAAGGTGGACCAATGGTCTGATGCAGTGCAAGGCAGCTTCCAATTTCATACAGAACCATGAGGACTAGAATCTTACTTTACTAGACAGGCAGCTTCCTATATACCATGCAGAAGGTCCCAGGTTCAATTCCTGGCATCTCCAGCTAGAACTGGGAGAGGACTTCTATCCAGAGCCCCAGAGAAGCCACTGCTAGTAAATGTAGACTAGGAAGCGGGAACCCATTGCCCTCTGGATATTGCTGGACTCCAACTCCCATCATCCCTCACCACCGCCCCTTCCTGCTGGGGCTGATGGGAGTTGGAGTCCAGCAGCATCTAAAAGCCAATGGGTTCCCCGCCCTGCTGCGGACAATTCTGAGATAGATGGCCCAGCGTTCTGACTCAGGGTAAGGCTTCTTCAGATGTTCCTATGACTAAGGCACTCAGCTGGGAACCAGGAAGTTGATAACTCACTGAAAAGCAAGTGGTTATCTTAGGTTCAGCCACCCACCGCCACCCTCGTTCTGCAGCAGGGAAGACAGGCCTAGCTTGCAGGGCTGTTGTTAAGAGTCTAATGATAGATTTTTTAATGGATTTTTAAAAACTGCCTTCATGGGCAAATTATCCTCCCAATGCAGTTTATAAATAAGTTGATATGCTACAACGTCAGCTTATTAAAACAATATACAGTGGTAATAATAATAATAATAATTATTATTATTATTATTATTATTATTATTATTATTATTTATTTGTACTCCGCCCATCTGGCTGGGTTTCCCCAGCCACTCTGGGCGGCTTCCATAGAAACCAAAAAACACTAAAATATCATACATTAAAAACTTCCCTGAACAGGGCTGCCTTAAGATGTCTTCTGAATGTCAGGTAGTTGTTTATCGTTTTGATATCTGATGGGAGGGCGTTCCACAGGGCGGGCGCCACTACCGAAAAGGCCCTCTGCCTGGTTCCCTGTAGCTTTGCTTCTCGCAATGAGGGAACCGCCAGAAGGCCCTCAGCGCTGGACCTCAGCGTCCAGGCAGAACGATGGGGGTGGAGACGCTCCTTCAGGTATACTGGTACCTCGGGTTAAGAACTTAATTTTTTCTGGAGGTCCGTTCTTAACCTGAAACTGTTCTCAACCTGAAGCACCACTTTAGCTAATGGGGCCTCCTGCTGCCGCCGCGCCACTGGAGCACGATTTCTGTTCTCATCCTGAAGCAAAGTTCTTAACCCGAGGTACTATTTCTGGGTTAGCGGAGTCTGTAACCTGAAGTGTATGTAACCTGAAGCGTATGTAACCCAACAGCAGGGTATGATCAGTTAAAAGTAGCAGCAACTTAAGTAAAATAAGCAGATTCAGGCCAAAGACCCATCTAGTCCAGCATCCTGTTCTCTCAGATATCAACCAAAACAACAACACTTTTATTATTTATATGCCGCCCATCTGACTGGGTTGCCCCAGCCATTCTGGGCGGCTTGCCTCTGGGAAGCCTGTAATCGGGACTTCACTACATACTGAGTCATTCTTCCCAACATTTCCCCAACCTCTTATTCCCTTTCACATCCTCCCCAGCCCACCCTTCTGTATATTCCCCATTGTTCCTGGGGAAGAGCATGGAGCTATGAAACTATGCGGTTTCTTCCCATGATGACCGGAAATCTTACTCAGCCACACACGGAAATAGCGTCTAGGTTTCTGCTCATATGTTTCCTTTCAAGATCATGAGGACTAGGAGGGGAATTTGCCACGCTTTTCAGATTGGTTATGCCGGCTCCACGTTCAGGGTGTGGTTTGTGTAATGCTTCAAAAATGGTAACAATTTGTATTATTATTTATATTAAGAAGAGCCTGCTGGATCAGGCCAATGGCCCACCTAGTCCAGCATCCTGTTCTCTCAGTGCCTCAGACGGAAGTCTACAAGCAGGACAGTGGGAGCAGATAACAGGGACTTAAAGAACAACAGTTTGACAGCAGCTGAAGAAGTTGCTGAAAGAAAGCACTGCAAAACCATCCAACTGGAATAAAAAAGTCTAAAGGCGTCCCTAAAGGCTAATAAAGGGTGTGGCTGTAATTTTTTTTTTTTTTGGGGGGGAGCATATTCCAGAGGTGCAAATCATCACAGAAAAGACCTTCCCTGCTACCAGCCAGCTTCATTCATTAACTAGTCACCAGAGACTCAGATGCTAAATCTTAAGACTTTGACAGTTATACATGAGTGGAGGCGGTCCTTCCGAAATCCTGGTCCCCATTCGTTTACTGCAAGGATGGGGAATCTGTGGTCCTCCAGATGTTGCAGGACTCCTTCAGCCCAGCCAGCCAGGCAAGTGATCAGGGATGATGGGAGCTGTAGTCCAGCAACATCTGCAGGGCCACAAATTCCACATCCCTAGTTTACGGAGATAATGACTGCACCCAACCAATGCTCGCCTAGTCTAACATCCTCTTTCCCAGATGCTTCTGGAATCCCCACAAACAAGGCATGAAGACAGTCCCCTCCCAGAAATACACACACCAACCTGTATTCCAAATGGAGGGTGCATACAACCAACACAGCAGCTCTCTTTTATCCCCCATTCATTGGTCTAATCCCCCTTTAAAGCTAACTTGGCCAGCAGCCATGGTCATTGCATCTTGTGACAGTGAGTTCCGCAAGTCCGTTAAGCTTCCTGTGAAATTTTCCCTGCTTCTGCCCTACGTCTACCGCCAATCAGATTTCCAAAACCGCAGGATCTAGCATTCTATGTAAGTGGAGCCTGCCTGCTGGATCAAGCCAGTGGTCCATGTAGTCTAGCTTTCAGTTCTCACAGCGGCCAACCAGAGGTCCGAAGGAAGCCCACAGCACAACAGCCCCCTCCCTACTTGCAATTCCCAGCACACTGCCTCGGACAGCTGAGGGAGAACACAGCCATTGCAGCTAGTAGCCACTTACCCTGCACAAATTTGTCTAATTCTCTTTTACAGCCATCCTTACACAGAACCACGTGCATATTTCTTGCAGAGAATCATAGTGTTGGAAGGGACCACGAGGGTCATCTAGTCCAGCCCCCTGCAATGCAAGAATCTTTTGCTGAACGTGGGGCTTGAACCCACAACCATGGTCTCATGCTCTACCAACTGAGCTACACATGAGGATAAGTTAGTGGTCCAAGTTAGTGGCCATCACTAACTCCTGTGGGAGCAAATTCAACAATTTAGCTATGTCCCACTGCTTGAAGAAGTATTTGTTTTTGTCTGTCCTTAATCTCCCAACCTTCAGTTTCATTGGCTGGCCCAGAGTTCTAGAATTTTGAGACAGAGAAAAATGCTATTCATTTTCAAGCTAGTGGCCATCACTACATCTGCGAGATAAGAAGGAGGAAAAGTTTCTCTCTATCTGCTTTTTCCACCCCACATGTCATTTTACAAACCTCAATCTGAGTATTTAAGATGGTAATGCTTCGGGATCTATTCTCCACTCCTCTAACAGCCGCCACCTTTGGCGACCTGCCCTTCATTCTATTTATTTTTTTAAAAAGCAAAAGATAGCCCGGAAGAAGAAGAAAAATCAAAATCCACCTTAGAGCAGCGCCTTTATTCAGTCAACCAAAAACATTTTGTAAAACAGCATGCAGGCTTTTGAGTTTTATTTCTTACTCACCGATTCAACCCTGAAGAAGAGTTTTGGAGAACTGAGAAGCGCGCGCATGCTTGCGCAACATTTTTGCGGTTGGCCCAGTAAAGGTATTGCGGCAGTGTGGGTTTTAGATATTTTTTTTAATTGAAAGCATTTTCAACTAACCCTTCAGTCAGAAAGACTCCCAAAGCAGCTTGGTTTTTTTTTAAAAAAACAGTAATAAGACAGTCCCTCCCTGCCCTCAGGCTTATAGTTAAAAAAAAAAGCCTGTGACACACAAGGAAGGAGGGGAGGGGAGGGCAGAGGAATGCAAACCCATGATTTCTTTCAAAGCCCCTTCCCCTTCATAGTAATGATTCCTTCTCCCTCTCCCAACTCCTGTTAGTACCATTTTTGCACTCTTTTGCTTCCTCAGTCCCCTGAATTGGGGAGCCCCGCTGATGGATTTTCTCTCCTTCATTCCCCCCCCCCCCCACTTCCAAATTTTAGGGTCGCTTCCTCCTATCCAGGTCACTTCTCCCTCCCCTCTCCTGATCTTGAATTTTCAACTCCTCTTCCCTTCAAAATCTCGGATCACCATCTCCCTCTTCCTCCTCCTCTTCTTCTACCCAACCCATCCACCCCTCTCTAACCCGCGCCCTCAATTACCAGAATTAGGGTCACTCTTTTCTTTCTTCCTCCTGTTTACAGCCAGCAGAGATCCAGCCACAGTCGCCGGGGCGATGAAGAACTGCCAGCTTCCGTGCCCAATCAAGGTCGCCAACGTCACGGTGGGAGGGAGAGATAAGAACGCACCTCCTCCTGCTACCTTCGGCTCCTCCCACCCTCTTTCCTTCCCCCCTCCCTCCTCTTTCCACGCTCATTTGAGAAGGTAAATTCTCAAAAATGCTTATGCAAATCGCAGAAGTACCTGCAAAAAAAGGGGAGAAAGAATGGAAGTATTCTTTTTGCGTTGTTCTAGTAGGGCTAAATGGCACTGTGAGTTTACATTCAATGCAATTCAAATATAACTTTGCAAATATCACTCTCAATGGAGCTAATCTCCAGATTATTTATTTAGTGATATATAGCCGTAAAAAAATAATGGCCATCATAATTCACAACTCAATTCTGCATACCAGATATTCAGTAGCGCAACACACAGATCAATGGCACAGCTGGCATATTTCACAGTGAAAGGATGTCACCCGATGTTTATCTGTTTATTTCTTCGGAAGGCTTGAAGCCCGCCCTTTGATATATGGCTGGTTGCAATAACACAAAATAGAATGCAAAACTGCAGTAGTGCGATGCAAAATAAGCGCATAGCCAGTGTGTCAACCTTTAGTCCCAGGATGGTACAGATACAGTGGCAAGAACCTTGGACTAGTGCCTGGGAGTCTAGAGTTCAAATTCCTGCTCAGCCCTGAAGCTCAGTGGGTGACCTTGGGCCATTCACTGCCTCTCAGCTTTGGCCATCTTTATTTTTCATTTAAAAGTTATTACAATTATTGCCTTTCACCGTGCAATCCTTTATTCAGATGCAAGACTCGTTGAGTTCAATGACGCTTACCCAAACGTAAGCAAGGAAGATTGCAGCGCTCTCCTCACTTACCTGGGAATTCAGTAGGACTTACTTCTGAGTAGACAGGGCTAGAATTGTGCCGCAAGCGAGCACTTTTGCTGCTAGTCTGACATTAGGGGTTCCTGTGATATATAGGCAGGGACTATCCCATATTATCATCAATAGGGGCTTAACGTTGAAACATACTGGAGCAGTTGGGGGCTTCATAGCCCCTGCAGATTTATTGGGAGAATATGGGCAGGAAATGCCTTTACTGGGCACTAGGACAGAACTGGGAGGGAATAGTCAGGGGGGAGCATTTCCTGGAAACGCATAGAAATCTCTGGGTCCGTACAATAGTAAGGGAGGAGGGTAAGCTTCATTCGCCCACACTTAAGATGGCGACCGGAAGGGGCGCAGACACTCTAGCCAGGTGACTTTCTGCCACCTGTCCCATTCACGAAGCCACTTACGTCCTTTGCGTAAAAGGAGACGAGGGTGCTAGAGCGGACGCAGGTTTCGTCACGCCAAGCCGGTGAGAGGGAGGGGGCGGGCCTTACTCAGTTTGCGCAGCTCGAAGCTACCAGGAAGGAACGCAGCTGGGGCTGCTTTAGGCCTGGGAACCGTCTCTCTCTCTCTCTGTCTCCTCTCCCCCCACTCCCAAATTTTTGGGGTGAAGGCAGCAAAAGGAAAGGAAGAGCTGCTTACTGTTCGAGAATCCGGAGAAGGAGCCAAGGGACCCAGGCATCCGACCATCTGGGGGGAGGCTTAAAGGAACCAGGTATATTGAGGTTTAGTCAGGGAAACAAAAGGGACCCAGGCGTCCGAGAGTCTGAAGCGAGGAGATCAAGAGACCCCGGCGCCCGGGAAGAAAAGGGTTAAGGGACGCAGGCAACCGGCGCCTGAAACTGGAGAAGGCGAAGAAGCCGAGGGACCCAGGTGTCCGATACCGCGGAGCAAACAGAAAGAAGAATTCTAGGTAACCTGGAAATTGGGAGCGAAGGGCACTTGAGCTTCCGGGAAAGGAAAGCAAAACGGGTCCAGCTCTCTGAGGACGGAGCCAAGTGACCAAGGATTTCCAGAGGAGGAGGCAATCAAGGGATCCAGGCATCGAAGGACTAAGGGACCCTGGTGTCCGAGCACTTTGAACAGGTGTGGCCCTGAAATCTGGGTGGTTGAGGAAGCGCTTCAGGACCTGCCGAGCGACAGGTGCACCCAGACACCTTTCACCACCTGATCCTGGGGTGGGATGCAAGAGCCTTAGGTAGGGGAGGGGGCAGCCCCTCGGGAGGTGTCTTGTTATTCGTGCTGAACATTTGACAGGATCAGGACCTTGGAGTAACCCAGCTCATTTCCAGGCATAGGAGAAGTCTTCCATTTGTTTTTATTCACAGCAAAAATTGGGTTTGGTTCTCGCCTCCATGCCTTCTTAGCAAAGAAGGGTGGGTGGGCCAGCTGTCGTTTTCCCCTGCTTCCAATCTCTTCCACGCTTCCCATGGAACTTGCAAAAACCCCTTGATTGATCTGCTTGAGGGGCTGGCCTCCCACAGCAGCCCTGAAGGATGTAACCAACTACTGAATCCGGGGGCAGCTCCTCCGTTTTAAGAAGGTGGTGCTGGTTGCCTCGAGGCTTGCCCCCTGGAAATGACACCTTGCTAACTGGACCAGGGCCCATCTCGCCAGGATTCAAGATGGAAAAGACCTTTGGCAACCTCAGCTCGATTGTGCCAGCTTCGCGCCTCACCCCGGCCTTCCCGCCGGCCGTCAAGGTTGGGCTGACGGCTCTGTACACGGGCCTCTATGCCTTGCTTTTCCTTTCGGTCTACGCCCAGCTCTGGCTGGTCCTCTTCTATCGCCACAAGAAGTTCAGCTACCAGACTGTCTTCCTCTTCCTCTGCCTCTTCTGGGCTGCGCTGCGCACCACGCTCTTCTCCTTCTACTTCAAGAACACCCTCAAAGCCAACCACCTGAGCCCTTTCTTCTTCTGGCTCCTCTACTGCTGCCCCGTCTGCCTGCAGTTCTTCACCTTGACCCTCATGAACTTGTATTTTGCCCAGGTAACTCTTCTAAGATGGCTGCTTGCTTGCGTGATTGCCCAGGTGGCGTGTGGGTAAAAGATGGCTGCTTGGAATGCTGGGCCAGTTTTGTGGATGGGAACATCCCAAGAGGCCTTGAGGGTGGGTGAACTCCAGCCGCCAGGGCCAAATGGTGGCCCTTCAGGCCTCTGCTCCTGGCCCTCAGGAACTCTTTCCAGACCTTCCACCCCCCCCCCCCTTTGAACTGTTCTAATGCCTTTTGCTTGCCTAGAAAGAGGATGGAGAGGTGTGTGGGGTGAGGATGTAGAAACCTCCATCCTTTTTCTTTTTTGCATGGCTGGAATGTGGCCTCTTGTACAAAGTCACTTCCATTGTTCTGCCCACTTTTACCTCTGGCCGTGCCCACCACTTGCGTGTGCCCCCCCCCGGCTCTAGAAGCTTCCATCCCAAGGAACGTGGTTCTCAGCCTGGTTCTTCTCCCCAATATGGGCTCTTTATATTGCTTGCTAAACCAGGGATGGGGAACCTGCAGCCCTGACGATGATGGTGGGCTGCAACACCCATCATCCCTGACCATTGGCTATGCTGGCCTGGGCAGATGGGTGCTGGAGCCTGCCAATACCTGGAGGGCCACAGGTCCCCTCCCTCTTGCCTCAACCCTTGCACACTTGCTGCCTTGGATTCTCAACCAGCCATTCTGCCCTCTTTGTCTGTCCTCTCAATCTCATGGCTACTAGTCATGAAATGGCTCTTAACTAATTAGTTTCAGGATCAAAAGTACCGTTCCTCTGCAGAAAAGGGCAATCAAAATGACCAGGGGGCTGGTCAATGAGGAAATTTTGCAACAATTTGGGCTTTTTTTTGGAGGGGGGCAAGTAGCGGGGGGTGCATGATAGACATGTATAAATTTATGTACGGTGTAGAGAAATGGAAGCTTTCTCCCTGCTCCTCATCATACTAGAATCATCTAATGAAACTGAATGCTGGGAGATTCAAAGGAAGCTGCCTTAAACAGAGCAAGACCACGGGTCCATCTAGTTCAGCAGTGTCTGCACGGACTGGCAGCAACTCTCCTGGGTTTCAGACTGGGGATTGAACTCAGAGATCCTGCATGCAAAGCAGATGCTTTGCTGCCACTGAGTTATGGCTCTTCCCCACCGACCTCTGCCCTGGTTACTGTTTTTTAAAGGAAGTACTTATTCACAAAGCACATAGAACAGGGAGGCAACCAGGAGAATTTTCATGGAGAGGAAAGAAGACCCCAAAGCCTTGGCACCACCACCAAGAAGGCCCTGTACCGTTACTTACATCACTGCTCGTGATGGTGCCACACAGGGGTGCCAACTTGAATAAAATATTGTGGGGGCCCAAGTAAACTCTGCACAACATAACTGATCACATGCAGTGCACATATGTCACATGCAGTGCACATATACCATTTGAATGGGAATGTCCACCAACTTTGTGGGGTCTGAAATTTCGACTTGCTGCACAAATCTAGTTGCTGCCTTTTCAGGGCGGTGTAGTGGTTAGAGGACTGGGCTAGGACCTGAGAGACTTGGGGTCAAATCCTTGTGCAGCCCTGCAGCTCGCTTGGTGACCGGTCACAGCCTCTTCTCCTTCCCTACCTGTTTTTGTGAGGATAAAATGTTTCTTGAGCAGGAACAGGTGGGATATAAATGGGGAAATAGGAAATGGAAGCAAAGAAACCTGAGAACAATGTTGCGGCTAAGAGGCTGAGCTGTGAGCCAGAAAGCTCTGGATTCGAATCTCATACTGGCTCGTGAAGTCATTAGGTGGCCTTCTGCATTCTGTTCAGAGCACAAGAGCAAGATATACACCAGGAGGCTTAGGTTGGACAGAATCGTGAATACACTTCCGGAGTTAATGCTAAATCCATGACTTCTGGTAAATGAGCCACCTTCGCCACTAGAGGGCCGTGAACATTTTTGTCTGGGGCTTTTTAGCCTCATCTACCCATGTGCCATCAGAAACCAAGGGGCACATGGGGCACCAGATGTGAAAGATATTGGCATTCTTTTCAGCTCTCCTACCAGACTATCTTGTTAGCAGGCAAAGTTATGCTATGGTTGTTTGTTGCAGGTTCTGCTTGTTTTCTGTAATTTCTAATCCCTGCCCCTTTCTTCCCTTCCCCTCCAGGTGGTTTTCAAGGCCAAAGCAAAATACCGCCCTGAACTGACCAAAGGCCTGTGAGTAGATGTGTATTTGTGTGTAACATCATAGCACCTTGCATTCTTCCGCCTTCCCATATATCCTTCTCAAGTGTCAGGGGAGGAAAAAGATAAAGTATTCTAAAAAACCAGTTGCATTTTCCATTTAAAATAAAAATTAAAAATTAAGCCCAGTGTGGCTCTTCACATAAAATAGCTGGCAAATAAATGGAGAAGGCCGGATTTCAAGTTAAAAAACAAAATCGCAACGTTATATGAATTTAAAAATACACTCCCTCAGCAGTACCCCAGCTACAGCTTGCAATACAAAAGTAGGAGACAGGGTGAAGTTTCAAAACTGAGTTGTTTGCCTGGCTGGAAGCGGGTCCTTGAACTCTGATCATGCCTCTTGTTGCCTGGATGAAGAGGCGTTTGTGAGAGTGCGTGGAAACTAGCCTATGGTGCACCGGTAAAATTAACCATTGCTCTGCCCACCTTAACCTCTGGCTCCACCCACCACTGCCATGTGGCCCCTGGAAGGTTGGCCAGAAGGTAGCCTGGCCCTTCTGAGATTCACAGCTGTGATTCCCTCACTCCCGCACACTTCCATTAGATAGCTTTCAGGGGTTCGGAAAATTTAGGGAGGACAGGCCTCCCGATAGAGCCTCCATGTTCAGGGGCAATCTATCTCGGACCACCAAATGCTGTGGACAGACAACAGAGGTGGGATTTGTGCCTTTTGCTTGTAGGCTTGCTGGCAGCGCCTGACTGGACACAGCTGAATGACCAACTGGACTAGAGGGCCCCTGGGTCTGATCCAGCAGGCCTCTCTCTTCCGTGCTCTTCCAGTTTCTCTTTCTCAGTGGCCTGGCTCGCAAGCAGCACTAAGCTATGGTTTATAAACCATGCTAACCCTTGCCAAAAGTTGGTTGGCTGAACCTGGCCCTGTGGCTTAACTGTGGTTCATAAATAACAGTTCACGTTAATTTAATAAACCAACGCTAACTGCAGTTTAGCAGGGGTGTAAGGAGCTGTCAGGGACGCGGGTGGTGCTGTGGGTTAAACCGCAGAGCCTAGGACTTGC